AGGGACTTTTGTAAGAGTCAGGCTTGTCCTTCACATTCCCATTTGGAGGAGGGGGGGGGGAGAAAGCGCCCTATATGAATAGTGGATCGAAAGTGCGTGTTCGCCTCCTGTTTTCCTTCACTTTCTTTTACTCCTTTCACTTCCACTTTCATCCGGTAACCAAATTAATGGACTTACAGCCTTTAGTGTTAAATTAAACGCCTCCACGTCAACCCTTGCAGGAACAACCTACTCCAATGTGTAAAAAATGTAATTTCAATGAATCATGACCACACATTTTCACGGAAACAGCTTCCATACGCGCAACTATACGAAAAAAAATCAGGCCAGAAAACGTGCGATGCAATCGATGCACATGGCGTTCGATTAACTGAGCCCCCAATTTGACTCTTATTGTAAGGCGCACTCCATGCTGCTAGTGCGTGCGGAAGCAGAAGTAAATTTGGTGGGTGAAGGCGCTGGCCAAGGCAGTACGAGTCTAGTTGCCTATAGTTTGACCTAAAACGCGCTATACCCTTATCGGCCCTAAACATTTCTTGCATTTGTAGACTTGGCGTGTGACGAGAAGGGGAGTGATCTCAAAGACAAACTGACAGCTTGCACCTTTACGGACTGCCCCTCCCATGTGCAAGGTGAATGGATGCGCGCTGCAGTGGCGCGTCACTTTCTGTTCTTAAAAGTGCAGGAGAACGCGGCTTGGAGGTAGAGATAGCCGGGTGCCGTCTCCCGACTCGGCCCGCGCTATCCTCCACGGTCCTGCTCTTGCGTCGTCGAAAGTGCGAACGTGCAGTGGTGAACACCACAAAATGAGAGGGCGCAGACAGTTAGCGCGTTTATGGTTAAGGCTTGTGGCTGGCCGTGCGGCAGCGTAGGCGGGACCGGGAGAGAGTCAGTACAATGTGTCAGCATGCTGTCCAGTCCAAAATCAAAGGCGAGTGGTTGCTGCGCCGGCTTTGTGGCCCATTAAGGGGATGAATAGAGCTTTGAATCATTGTTTCTAAGTCGCTCCTTGAAGACTTCAAGAAAAAGCGGATCTCGATTCAAAAATCAACGAAAAATCACTTGTTTTCAGGATGAGAGATGTACTCGGGTTGGATTTCTCACCACTTACCGAGTCACTGGAGGAGAAGCTCTACACATTAGGTGTCGTTGTGAATGTCTTTCTCACTATGCCTCTTCTTGTGCTTTGCCACATGTTGCCATTCATCCTGGTAACTTTCACTACTGTTTATTTTTCTAGATAAAAACTGAAGGAGCTTTTCGGCTACTCGGGTTCTTTACGGAATCTGTAAAAGCTTTAAAGACTCTCATTGAATTGCCCATTAATTTATTTAGTCATTTATTCTTCCATTTATTTACCTCCTCATGTGCAGGCACACGGTAACTATACTCGAAATCCCTGAGATCGGGTAGGCGTGGCTGCGTACTTGATTTTAAAATGGCGGCGGCCCAGGTTTTCGTGAGATATTGTCATTTTGGAGCAGTCGTAATCATGTCTACATCTAACACAGAACAAGATAGCAGTTGTTTCAAATTGAAGTATCCCACGAGAAACCCGTCCTATGCCATGCTCAAAAGCCACGCCTACTCCGTCTCAGGGATAAGGAGTGTAGTTTTGCGCAAGCGTTATTTCCTAGCCCAACGAATCAGTTTACATTAGCACTTTCGTGCAAAATCAATCGGTGCAGGTGGAATGGTGCATGCAACTCTTTTTTTTCTAAGGCTGAACTGTCGGAATTTGAGCATCTTGTCGTAAGTAGTAAGTAGAGCGGTCGGGTAGCCGATCAGGTTTTAATCTTGATGGTGCATCTACCTCCTGAAAGGAGGCCTCATAAAATATCTTCTGATAATAGTATAACAAAATCTAGAAGCAGTTTGGCTCGGGGGGCAACAATAGGCATCCGACGAAGCCTGCACAGGCCAGCTCGTGAAAAACCTGTGAATTTTTGTAACCGGTGAGACTCACTTGTACGATTTCGCAGCTTAAAAATGAGCTCACGGGACTAGACGAGATCTAACAGTAACTAGACTTGTTAACATAAAGTAGCAAAAGGAACTAGCAAAAGTGCATAATACACCTCCTAAGCCGAACAGCGCCGAGATATGTTTCTTTTATATTTCAGTACAAACGTCCACTTACAGCTTCTAGCTTCTTACTAGCTACTATTGCTTCTTACAGATTCTTACACAACAGTGGCTAGTAAGAAGCTAGAAGCTGTAAGTGGACGTTTGTACT